TATCCGTGCATTCCCCAAACCATACCATCCCACCCTAAACCATTCATTCGTCTATCAAGGATACTATCTTTCATGTCAAACATGATATTGTAAAACATCATGCCCGCTTCTGCAAAAGAATTATCAAGAAGAAAATTCGTATCAAGTATCGCAAAGAAAATAATAACGCTAGTGCCAGACCGAGCTAACTAAGCTACTTGTATAATGGCATAAGAGCACAATATGCAGGGGCGTCTAGTATGTACTTTTGAAAGACATCTCATGGTTCAATTGATCCAACCCATTGAACCACATCATATGGTATATGGTTTACAATAGAATCATATACCCCAAACTTTTCTTATCCATTACCGAAGCGAAAAGAAATATGCTTCGGCAAGGTATTTAACAAAGAAACACTTTACGAGCTTCCAACGGCGTTTTTAGCGGCATTAATATATTCGCTTGCGTGGATATCGTATGAGGGTGCGAATCCACCGAGGAGAGTGAAAATGGTGGTAATAATAAGACCAAAGACGATAACTTTGCGGAGGACTGGTCGACGGGAGCCGAGATCTGCCCATTGGCGTCCACCTTCTGCAAGATAACCCTTGATCTTTTCAGCACCAAGCTTGAACCAAACCATTCCACCGAGAGCAATAGTATATCCGAAGCATTGGAGTGGGGTAATGAAAGTTCCCCAGATGATGACGGAAAGACAGACGAGGAGAATATCTTTCAAAACACCGCAGAGAGTGAAGATGAGAACGGAGGTTTTGCCAATCTACATATCATGTTAGTAATGAGTTTTGTCTTTACCAAATGTGATTTTCTTACCAAGAATACAACGGAAACGTTCAACATGAATGCGCACATAGCATTGGCCAAAAGAGTCCAAAATCCAACATTGTAGAAATCGCCCATGGTCATGGTTGGAATTTCCCAGAAAAGTGCGACGCAGAAGTTCATGATGGCACAAACTGGAGCGAAATAGTAAAGGGATACCAATGGGTCCATCTTGAACTCGGCAGAGCTGAGAAGTCTTTGAACCATGACAATTCGAATAGCCTCAAAGATGATACCTCCAATTTGGAAAAGAACACCAATGACCACAAAGTCAATTTCTCCAATGGATGCGATGACGACACCGATAACAATGAAGGAGACGTTGAAGAGGGTTTTCATGTTGGGTTCGGCAACTCCCAGAGCCCAACTGGTGAGCAAGACTGCGACAGGAGTAGTAGCCTACAATCGAGTGTTAACACATTGACATTCCATCTCTAGCTATTCAACATACCTTGAGCATTTGAAATGAAAGAAACACTGAGATAGAGATATGTCAAGTTTCCGCAAATCAAACTCAAACTGAAGAAGATTCCAATAGGCACGATAGCTCTCAAGTATACACGACCCGTCATCTTAACCGTCTTTCGTCCATCGAGAAGTTTGGTCGTTCGTGCGAGAATTTGCGTCATCAAAGTCGCGAATCCAAGATGCCATGATGTGAGGAAGATTGGGAAATCTGCAGAACTGTTAATTCATGGTCGCGAGTAAAAATGGTGCAATCGCAGGGAGCGACCCAGCTGGAAAAAACGTACGAAATCCGACGGTCGACAAGATCCATTTGTTGAAGAGAATAACACTGGAACTGAAGAAAATCCATGTCCTTTCGAGAAGACGTCAGCGAATTGTTTACTTTGATTGATGATGAGATTCTAACTTACATAACATAAAATGCTGGGTGTACAGCAGCCTTTGGAGGTTCTGATTTCTCGGCGGCAGGATTAACTGTAGGAAGGACAGGAGAATCTGCCGACCTGGAGATCTCTCCGGAAACTCGAACCTTTTCTTCAGTCATGATTGCGAGATGCGTTGTTGAAAAATTGGTGCAATGATACTTCAAATGTGTTGGAGATGTTTAATGTGAAAGATCACAATCTAGATGTAAGGGCAGTAATGAGGGTTGTACGCGTTTTCCTGTGTGCCAAGCACTAGATAACGATCGGAAAGGTTAGAATTCCCAATGGAGAACGATTATCGAGTTTTTTTGCGCTATGAGGCGAAATTGAAAGATTGGAAGGATTGGAACTTGGTATTGTTTTACCAAAGAATGAAATAATGAAGAAGAGGTGAAGAAGTAAATTGAGAGGAGAAAAGATTGAAATGACAAGAGAAGAAAGGACTGAAGTGAGTGAGAGAAGTGGTCCTTATGTCCTTATGTCCTTGTGTCCTTGTGTCCTTGTGTCCTTGTGAATGGATCGGATCTATCGTACTGGGGACTCAATAATATAATTACCTCTTTGATTTGAGGTCAAGTTCTCGACGTGATTTCAATGCTACCTCCTAGGTAGGCTCAAGGTTACAGGTACAGATATCTAGATGGCAGTACTAGGTAATAAGAGGTACATCGTGCATACCTATCTAATACCTACTCACTCTAGTTGGAGTCCTCTGTTAATATGGATACTGGGTAGTAAGGTTCAAAGTGGATATTCATCTACCCGGCTAGAAGACTTCGGGGCCCAGATTAAATTATACATCATACGTAACTCTCTGTCAAGCATCAAGAATGTCAATAATCAAATATATTAGAGTACCCGTGGACTATCATTATCATTATCATTATCATTCTTATTATCCCTCATGTCCTGGGTCGCTTACCAAGGTAGGTAGGTCACGTCTAGTGTGGTTAACCGGAAAAGTATATTTCATTATCATTTCCATCTCCATCTCCATCTCCATTTCTATTTCTGCACATTCCTAGGTAGATACCACAAATTCATTTCCTCCTTCATTCGTTTTCAAGTTATTTATACATTCGAAGCTTAATTAGAAGCCATCCTCTTCTCGAAGGTTTCAAAGAAGCGAATGGAAAAGCTTTAATCCTTATTTAGATGAAAATGAACATTGTCTAACAGCATTGGGGATAATGAATCTTGTCGTCTATTAGGGAGGTCCCAACAACAAGTCCTACCTACCTGGTATACATCCAGGTAGTCCAGATCGATTTGAGCATACCAATCAAGTCTCTAAACAGAGTAGGTACCGGTATGTATTGGATAGCTGTGGCTTGAGCTTACCAATTAGAGTACGCCGTCCGAAAAAAAAAGGGCCGGCAAACGCGCAATCACTTTTGATCTTCCCCCCTTTTTTTGATTTGAAGGCAATGGCAGGGTTATGACAATGTATGCCATGTATTTGTTAATTATGTATTGGAGTGCAATCCAAAGAATTAGAACGACCGTAACTCAATTCGACTATTGCATACCAAAATCAAGTTCAATATCCCGCTACTCTTCATCAAATCATCGTCTTGAATGTTTGAATCATCCCAGCTAAAGAAAGGGAATTTCTATTTCCATCACAGTGACATCGTTACACAGCCTTCTGATCATCGAATATGCGATGACTTGTTAGAGATATTGAAACTTTTGGCAGTAGATCTACAACCTCTTGACTCTAAAATGTCCTCAATCTCAGATTCTCAGCCTCGTCATTTGGAAAAGGTGATACCCATACCTTGTGTCCCTAAGCCGTTTGTTGTGAAGCTCTGGCGCCACCCCCTGAATAAATCTTTTTGCTTTGCTTCCCCTTGTTCGTCTGCGAAGATCAAAAGTTACACCAAGAGATCTGTCAATGGCATCATCATCATTGGCCTTCTTGGCCCCCTTGTTCCCTCACGATATACTCAAATCTAAATCTAATTAATTGGTCCCATATTGACGTTCTCCAGAGGGGTAACAAAAGGGACCAAAGCTCAGTGTTGTAAATTGGCTACTCCCGTGCTACTGTATGATAATTTGATCGATTTACTTGAGAGATTAGTCGAAGGTGCTGATCCTTTCATGTATTTTTCTGTCAAACGTCAATCCTGGTGTAGGCCACTGGATGGCCAGATAAATGTGGACTTTCGCGGATAGTCACCGCAAAAAGGTCGGTCTAGCTATACATCGAACTAACTTTTTCCAAAGTTGTGGAGAAGTTCAACTCGTGAGCTTGTCTCAGAGATGAGATCCGGAAACCCGAATAGACATGCTGATACGATATTGAGGATATTCCCAGTAATCTCATCCTCGCCTGAAGTTTACTTGCAACCGATTTTCATTTGTATAAGACTTCACACCTTTTTATATCGCTCATGATGTTTGGAGATCGGCGGATTATCCATGTTGATATTCATTTGATGAAAGTCTGACTCGATTGCTCTGCCAGAAGATTGCAGTTTATAGAAATGTAGAGGGAACCAAGCTCCCAGGTGATTACAGGAATTTCTTATCACAACGCCGGTAACATGCATGATGCTTCCCGAGGGGTTCTTGCATTGCGGTAAATAAACGGTGAACGGTGAGGGCGCACAACAGACGGGAACGAAGTTGGAGGATAGTTTCTTGTCGATCAAGGAAAGGAACGGGTGCGTACAGTAGGTGTTCAGTAGACTTGGTAAATATGTGGTTTGTGAGTGCTCGATGTTGCGATACTCGGCCAAGACGTCCCCAAAGGTTGTGGAGAAGGAGATGATCCATCGTGAAATCAACAACATCCAAATCACAGATGATCCCATTGAGAACCTGCAAGTAGATTAAAGTCTCCCACAATCGTCGGCTCAAAGAAAATACGTATTCCACAGTTTGCATTCGAAGGAATCTAGGATGATCCAACTGTTTTGGGGGATTTCTTTTCTATAAGGTTACGATTAAAGTTATTAAAGACACACACATCACTTGTAAGTGAGGGAGAGGCATGAAATACTACCGTTTTCGACGTTGATACGTTCTCTTCCGATGTTGTAGTCTCATACTTAGATGAAGTTTTATATTCTTTTAATATCCTGTCCCAAGGTTCGAGAATCAACCTTTCAAGGTTGATGCCGAGACCAAGCCAATAGATAAGCTTTTCATGATCCATGCTTCAGATTCCATTTCGTTCTTATCCAAATTCGGTTGTAGCGTTTACCATCATTATCCGTCTACCGGTCCAGAAGCGATGTTCAATGTTCACAGATGAGAGAGGACGGGAACATTAACCACCCTCGAGCCACCCTAGTTCAAATAGGTAATTAATTTGAGTTAAGAGAGTCGAATTTAATCCTCTTCGACCCTTTCATCCTTGCTCAAGGTACGTGGGCTATTTCACCCTCATTTTAACAACCCACCGAGATTCTTCAATTGGTGTTCCATAATTTTCCCAGGTGCTGTCATTTCATACATACCAGTTGGCAGAACGAGTATAAGGGAAAAGATACCATACATCTAGCCACCTTTACTTTCCTCTTCTAATACCTTATTAAGACCTCTCGTCCGCCTCTCTCTGTTCAAGAATTCTCTCCAATTTATACCCAATCATACCCTTCAAACGATACTCTATAGACTTACAAAATGGCCGATATGTATGTATACCCTTCTCACTACCTCGACCTTTGCCCCCCTCATCCACCACACCATCATCTGCGCAATGAAATCTCCATTCGTGGCATCCTCAAGCTAATTGGCACGTGTAGCAACGTGGATGTTCTTGTTATTGGAGCTGGACCAACTGGTCTTGGAGCTGCAAAGCGTTTGAATCAACTTGTGAGTGTCTTTCTACCCAGCGATACACACCGCCAACTTGGAAGAACCTTTTTACTGACCACAATCGCAGAATACTGCATCATGGATGATCATTGATTCGAACGAAACTCCTGGTGGACTTGCTTCTACAGATACCACTCCTGAGGGCTTCGTAAGTTATCTCAACATTCAATGACAAATGTGGCAAATGCAATTTTCTAACTTCCAATTCACAGCTCTACGATGTTGGCGGACACGTTATTTTCTCACATTATAAATACTTTGACGACTGCATTGATGAGGCTTTGCCAAAAGAAGATGATTGGTACACACACGAGCGTGTCTCTTATGTCCGCTGCAAGAACCTCTGGGTTCCTTACCCATTCCAAAACAACATTTCCGTTCTGCCAAAGGAGGAACAAGTCAAGTGTGTTGATGGCATGGTTGATGCCGCATTAGCAGCTCGCACTGCTACCACCAAACCCAAGGATTTCGATGAGTGGATCGTTAGAAATATGGGTGAGGGAATCGCAAACTTGTTCATGAGACCATACAATTACAAGGTCTGGGCAGTTCCAACCACTGATGTTTGTATTCCCCTTTCACTCTGTTACACGAAATTATGCTAATGATACAAAAGATGCAATGTGCATGGCTCGGTGAGCGTGTTGCAGCTCCAGATGTGAAGACTGTCGTCAAGAACGTTATTCTCAACAAGACTGCTGGAAACTGGGGTCCTAACGCCACTTTCCGCTTCCCTGCCCGCGATGGTACCGGTGGTATTTGGATCGCAGTCGCAAAGACTTTGCCAAAGGAGAAGACCTTGTTTGGAAAAGAAGGAGAGGTTAAGAAAGTCGACGCTGATGCACACACTGTCACTCTATCCAGTGGCAAGACCATTGGCTACAAGAAGTTGATTACCACCATGGCTGTTGATCAACTTGTCGAGCAAATGGAAGACAAGGCACTCATTACTTTGAGCAAGGATCTGTTCTACTCAACAACCCACGTTGTTGGTGTTGGAATTAGAGGAGAGCGACCAGCAAACATTGGAGACAAATGCTGGGTAAGTTCCTTTTCCACTTTTTTGTCTCGATATTATTTTCTGCCAAAGCGGTGACCCCTCAAATTTCTTGGCTTAATTCCGAGTATCACCCGTTTTCACGTGCTGACATTTTCCATAGCTCTACTTCCCAGAAGACGACTGCCCATTCTACAGAGCAACCATCTTCTCAAATTACTCCCCATACAACCAACCTGAGAAATCCGTTAAGCTTCCTACCTTATACCACGCAGATGGCAGCAAACCAAAGTCTTCTGAGGCTCAAGAGGGTCCTTACTGGTCCATCATGTTGGAAATCTCCCAATCTACCAAGAAGGCAGTCGATGTGGAGAACATCCTTAGAGATTCCATTCAAGGTCTGATTAACACTGAGATGATCAAATCAACCGATGAGATTGTTTCCACTTATCACAGAGCTTTCGGTAAGCATCTTTCCCGACTTTATCTACACATCAACATAGACTAATCTTTACTATAGACCACGGCTACCCAACCCCATCCCTCGAGAGAGAAGGTGTCTTGACTCAACTCTTGCCAAAACTTCAAGAGAAAGATATCTATTCCAGAGGACGTTTCGGTTCATGGAGATACGAAGTTGGAAACCAAGATCACTCGTTCATGTTGGGTGTTGAGGCAGCTGATCACATTGTGAACGGAGCTGTTGAGCTTACTCTCAACTACCCAGATTTCGTTAACGGCAGAAAGAACACTGAGAGAAGACTCGTTGAAGGAGCTCAGGCTTTCCAAAACAAAGATTTACCTACACGTCTCGCCAACTAGATGTACGTCCAGAAGTTTGGAAGAAGGATAGAGGAGTCGAGAGACCGGGAAGAGTCTACTGAAAATTACTGTATACCTCTTACGTTTATTGAAGTTTGAGAGGACGCATTATTATGCACCTAGATTTGTCTAAAATCTGCTGGCTGGTGTTTGCTTATTGCGACTTAGATACACACATATGCGATTTGTACTCGTATGCTAGTTCTGTTATTGAAAAAATAGATAGCGAGAGTTTTATTTTGAAGAGCTTGTTTTTTGCTAGCTACTTCTCAGAAATAGATTCTAAATAGAAAGAATTTATATTTTATGATTTGAGCCTTCTTGATACTTTGGTTATTGTGTTCGAAGAACTAGTCTTTCTCGTGATTGTTATGAGTTGATCTCATCGCATACCCCTCCCTCCCCCAGGTTGCAGGCGAATGGTACTCGTACTGAATTATATGGATTGGGCACCTAGTATATATACAAACTTTTGCGTGGGTTAAGAATAAAGTATATAAATAGAGTGTAGATAGATAGTATGCTACGGGATATAAACCAATGCGAGTTGATCCATCCATCCAAAAACCCCTAATAGGTACCTAGATAAACAGAGAAAAGAAATGAACAGAGTAAACCACCGGAGAACATATCGAATGAACTACAAATAAATATAACCACATCTAATGTGAAGAGCAAACCCATCCACCAATACAATCGAATTCCTCCCACGCTATGCTCAATCAAATCGTCCCTCCCTATACCATCCCATTTCATCATCCCAATTGTCAATCCCCACTCACCACCCCACTCCACCCTCTCAAATTGTCGGCCCCGAACCCGGAAACGAAGAAAACTGAAACTTCGACTGATCCGGATCCATCAATTGCGGACAGCCTCCAATCGAGCCCAAGATGCCCTCGGTAGTCGAGGACAAGATGCCCACCGGTTCGGTGATATCGCTAAAGACGTTTTTCAGAAAATCCGGCGCGGTCAATTGTGCGTTTTGGAGGAGGAAGCAGGCGAGATTGTTGCCTTCGAAGAGGGATTCGAGGTTGTACACGCCGCCGGTGAGATCGGAGAAATCGATGCCGGTGAAGGAGTTGACGGTGCCGGTGTTGCCGCCGACGGTGAGGGTGTTGGGGTATTCGGATGCGCTTTTGGGGGGAGGGGGTTAGTTGTGTTGGTTTGTTAGGGGGGAGGAAAGAGAGGGAAGAGAGGGGATGGGATGGGACATACAAATATAATATATCTTCTGTTAAGCTTAGGATACCATATTCGTCACCAATAGCTCGTCGTCCCCAACCAGGTGGGATACGTTCCCATCCATCTTTCTTTTCGAAATATCCAGTCTCTCCAGTGACGCCAAAGAAACTCTTCAGGTTGAATTGGTCTAATATCCCCTCGGGGTGCGCCGCAGTATGATTCGCCATAAATCTATAAATAAAACTCTGCGCCGCATTACTGACCGCCATGCCCACAAACGGACCATAAAAGAAATACGGATTCGTGCGAACGCTTCTCTCGAAAGTGATTTGGCGAAGCTGCGACATGACCCCAATATCGTAATTGGCAGTTTCTTTATCTGGTTGTAGATCAAATAGTTCTTGAAAGTGAGGCATTTGAAGGACCCAGGCGTTGCCGTAGACAAAAAGGTCGCCGCGAGTGGGTGAAGTATCGCCTTCATATTTATTGTGCGAGCCGATTAACCCTTGAGGGGCACCAAGTAGACCAAAGAGGTTGTCGAGAATATTTTGTCCTTGAGTGGGGCTTGCACCAATGCTCCAACCTGGATTAAGAGAGAGAGGATTGCCGTCCATGACAAGGCCGTAGACAGTGAGGAATATAGCCAAATCTGCTCCCTTCGAAAATCTTAGTATCGATCTGCAGTTCTCGAAAGTGTAATCCTTACCATTCCAAATACTCTTTCATTGGCATCAATTATTTGAGAAATGGTAGCAAATCCATTGTGAGGTATAAAGCCATGGTTCGCTAACGCGTTCAAGCCTGGACAAGGACCTCGCTAAAGAAAGCATTAGAATCGATATTGTTGACTCACTATAGCACAAAAAATGCGGAGGTCTGAAGGATGAACCCACCATATCTTGGGGCCGGGGGGCACAAACGCATGCTCCCGGGATACATTGATAATTTGAGCAGCAGCGTTTAAACCAGGTGAGCTGCGTTTGCACGTCTTTCTTCATATGCAGCTTTGGCTAACGAAGCGATTTTGGAGTTCATAGCAGTTGCCTCGAAAGCTTTAGCAGGGAATGCGAGTATTTGTATGGGTAGTACAGATAAAGCAATGAACGCTAGGAATGTGATGTTAGATTCCATTTTGTATGTATAAGAAGGTGAACAAGTGATTTTTCAAGGGAAGAGAGGGTTATGTTTGATGGTAGAGAATGGGGGGAGAGGAAGCGAGATCTTTATACTGCCGCAATCACTTCAATTGAAGACAGTAAAAGTTACATAAATTGCTATTATCTACTCGCTACAGCCTTCACAATCGAAATTTACGGATAAATCGACATGTGGAAACCTACTTGCGTCACCCAATCAGCCAAATGAATAGTTTGTCACCCCAGAGTATAGGTTTGATAGAGATACTTCTCGCCATTACGTTACATCAACGTCGGGCCAGCCTTATCCTTCGCTGGAGCCGATAGAATCGGAAAGATAACTATCCGCTTGAGAAAACATTGTACCAAAGCTTTAGCTATATCGATGATTCGCGATAATGACCTCATAGTCAAAATTGATGCCACACCAAACCTCCATCAGTACAGGGGGGATGCATGAAGTAAGAAGACCACGAGCAAAAGCGTACGGATATCGATGTAGAGTTCGAAATATTTGGGAACCCATAATAATGAAAGTAAGTAGCAACGTGATGATGTTACACCTGAAGTTTGCATCGAGCTATGGCGCAAGCCTCTCCTGTCGAGTGAAAGATAACATACTTGTTTCACCCGAATAACATCACGTAACACAGAAAATGGTGGTAGACCGTCGGTAGGCGGAATACAACCGTCGTGACACTTTTCTAACGTTGTCTTGCCGGGGTATTGGAACGTGCAATGGGCCAATGTTTCAATGTCTCTCGTTTGTATTCCCATCTAATACTCCATTTCCGAAGAATCATTCGTTTCTAGTGCAAAAGGAGATCTCGATGATTTCGGGTTGTATGTATCCGAGTGTTAGTGTTTGATTAATTTGTCCGTCTGCTGTTTATTTGAAATAGGAATTTATGTTGTTAACCCAACAAGCAGGATTTGATCACGGCTGTGACGATGGCATTTTTGCCCTCGACATAAACTGTTCTCGTGCCATCGAATCTTGACGTAACCTATATTCGTGCAATCCACCCTTTCGATGCCCAGCCTCAAGGCCCAGATGATCAAGTATGTCGAATCGTCCCTTGCGGCCGTCCTTTGCGGCCGGAAGATCGAAGTCAATCTTTCTGGAAGTGGCCCCAGAGAAATTCAGCTTACACTCAAAATTGGTGATGATTTGTCGGTTCCGCATGATTTTTTCCGTTACTTTCCGAAGCAAGTATTGTTTTTGCTACCGTAGAAAGGGCAATGTAATGATAGAACGGCTGCTATCGATACATCGAAGGTTTGGTAAGGAATTCCAACGATGGGTCTGCTCGCGCAAGTAGTGAGCGTATCCTTGAGGATCACTTAGGAGCCTGCAGCATGAATGTCTCGCTTCCCCTGCTTCCTATGTTACCAGATTGAATCGTTGATGACGCCATGTCATTGATTGGATTGTTGTCTGTCTGTCCGTGGATCTCTTTCTCTACCCTGTGCACCACATCATCATCAGATTTAAGTTCGCCCACGATACTTCCCCTCCACTGCGATTCGCGTATATGTGGCACCAAGTTTGCATTCGATTCAATCGCATCAGGAACGGTATTGATGGATAGTACTTTCGTCAAATTATGAGAAAATCTCTGAATTTCCGGCTTTTCGGTCACTTTGGCGAGCAGAAGAGCTGCATATTGACGTTGAGAGTTCGGTGTCTGACTCAATGTCCTCACGAATATATCAAATGGGTCTTGACAAATGCCATATATTTCGTGTGGAATTTGTGATCCATAAGCTTGCATAACGTCTACCATAGAGTTACCAATCTCGAAAATCTTCTCGAAAATACCCATTCCATGAACTTCTATACTTGCGATGGGTACTGAGGATATGACACTCAGGAGAGAGTGAGCGATGCTTAGAGGATATCGAAAAGTCATGCTTTCATCGACGGCAGTGGAAGAGAGCAAGCCTTGACGCATCGAAGATTGCCAAACAATCAAGCGGAGCCATTGCTGGGTAACGAGAATATCAGCTTTCTGTATGGTAGTAAGGGACAAGTGAGAAGGGTGAGGAAGATTTAATTGTTGTTGAAGCGCTGTGTACCTAAGAGTCGAAACTGGCGCATCAGAGGCTTCGTTCCAAGAGTCTACAAAGCTAGAGTCTAACAGATGGTAAGATTGTACTAGGTGCATAAACCCAGAATGAATTTCCGGGCTTTCATAATCATGTAGAGTTGAGGGCAGAGCCGGTGTCTTCGAAAAGGTGAGAGGCTTGTGACGTAGAATCGCAAAAGACCTAAGGCTGTTTTAGAACCTCAAATCTTTAGATGGAGTGGACTTACCTTTCTGTAACATATAGAATCCAAAATGTTCGTCTACGGCACAGCTCTTCAGCAGGGTGAAGACCGGAATATTTATGCTCTTCATGCAACCCTATATCTTGAGCCATTGTCATTGCTTCTCTCAAATAGTACCAAGATTTCCTAGACTGATTCAACTCGAAAAATGCAGTCGATACGAAATATGAAGATATAACAGCAGACAACGATTTATCTTCGATGAAGTCATAAGCCCGTCGAATCATTATACACTCGTCAAGGAAGAATCTTCCAGCAGTTTCCCACGAAGGGGGTCCTGGAGCTAGTATGCTTTTACCCGACATATGAGTTGAAGTGATGGCACATAACGAGTAAAGAAGGTTTTTCTCGTGCATTTCCAATGGCCGATTTATTGAGGCTCGCAGAGTGGGCATATGCACTAGAGGCATAATTGGGTAAATGTGCTCAAGAAAAAGATCAAGGCATGTCGGGATTAGATACATGTAGCTCACAGATGTGGGCCTAAATTGATCGGTCGTAAATATGCTATTTGGCTCATCACTGGAAATGGTCGAGATATCCGACATGATTGGATGCCGTGCAGGTCTTCCCACATATGTTTGGGCGGCGGAAGAGCTAGCAGTATCCGAAACCCAACGATCTATATCCACTCTATAACACATATCAGCTGGTGGACAATCGCTAATGGAATGGGATAGAGAGAGGTCACAATCCACGTGACATGGTTGAAATTTGAACATTCTCAAACATTCCCTGAACACCTTCTCGAGTTTGACAATCCTCACCAACCTGGGACAATAGAACTTGCTTTAGGACTACTTGAAATTACTCACGATCCGGGAACGGTACTGCTTCCACCCGAGCCCGAGTCACGGACTTCCGCAAAGTTTTTGATACCCCCGCCATCTTGAGCTCTCAATTCATTGATTACTCTACCATTTCCACGTTTGGGTCCCCTTCTCTTCGGTATGTGCTCTCTTTTGCATGCTAACGATGCATTCCCGCATTGCTTACATGGGAAATTCCCATCACATCGTATTCCTTTGATTGGTCAATGCTCGGAACTCCTTTACTGCATCAAAAAGTGTGGGTATCTGCAAGAAGACTTACTTCTTCTTCGACAATGATCACAAACTTTCCTCAGTGTCGATATACTTGTACACTCTGGAGGCATTCCAACTCTTTATTTGTATCAAAGTCGCCTTATGGTCATTGAGGGATATTTGAGCATACAATCTGACGACAAAAACTCAAAGTTCGGGGCTTGTAAGTTTGTCAGTCCGTTGACGTTTGTAAAAGCGGGGCAGATGAGCTAAGCCTTATATAGACTAGCATGAACTGACCACAAGAGAAGTGGGATTTGTACTACGACGACGATATTGAAAACTCAATTGTCAGAATGTTTCATCTCACGAGACATCTTGCAAGTACTATGATGTACTTCGTCGTTTGAAAAGAGGCTCCGATGCTTATGCGAGAACACGAGGTAGTGCAACATCAACGGTAATCTCCAGTCCAAAGCTTCCGGTTTGTGAAGAGACTTTCAAAGGTGCATATTTGGTGCTATAACTTCAGCAACTAAACCAATGAAAATGAATCAACTCTCGAGATCATGACGGTCAAAATTGGTGATTGACAAGTCTTGTTCCGCAAAGGCTTAAGGCAAAGGTTGTTGAAGTGCCAGGAGAATGTAGCCAGGCACAACATGTCAAAATCTCCTATGAACGTCATTTCTTGAGCCATCCTGGTGTCCCAAGGCCATAGTTCTCGCTTCGGGAGCCATTAGCTGGCTGTACGACTTGACGACAGAATTCTGGCATGAGTGTGCATGTGTGTTGGTAATGTTTTCTGGACGCGATGGACGCAAGGTAAGAGATAATACAGGTAATCCATAGAGTCAGGTGTCGCTCCTACGAGATAGCTCGAAACTAGATACGATAAATCTAATGTGAGATGACTGTAACATTAACTGACTGTTCAATGAAGGTTCGATCATACAGAATTCTTCAAGCCATGATGACGATTCAATCCAAATTTCAAATCGGCAAGTCGGCTTGTATTGAGGCGTCATGAAACACAGTCATAAGGCATCATGAATGAATCAATACCTTCATAATTCTAGTTTACCATGGGTTTGTGAGTGCAAGAATCCCTTTGAAAATTTTGCTTTTCTTAGACATTGGTACATAGATTTACAGGCGAATTTCTGAACAAATTCAAATACGACCTTCCCAAGTTAATCTTTCAGAAAGAAATAATAGAAGCAAATCAACGCCTATACTAAATTATATGTCATATTATTATCAAATCTTTATTCTTTGGCAAGCAATCTGCAGCATTGCTTCTCATCATCTCCTTGATATTCTCAAAATCATCGACATCATCCCAACGTCTCCGGAAGACGTCCGAACCATGGAAAAAGCAACCACAATCAAAGACCACACAGGCTTAGCCAAGTCAAAGTTCAGACTATTGCATTTGAAATCTGGAACTGGAAACCAACAACTTTGTGCGACGATCCGTGTCGAGCCCATGGATAGTGCAGCCGCCAAAGGTTACATCTGCTTGTCCTATGTCTGGGGTACTGAAATTTCCACAGAGCGCATCAAAGTTGATGATAGCGAAGTTTCTATCCATGCGAGCTTACTGACTTGTCTTCGGCACGTCAGAAACCCGCACCACCCGTTGGTTCTTTGGATTGATGCTCTATGCGTAGACCAAAATGATCCGGATGAGATAGCTAGTCAAATAGCAAACCTAGGAGAAATATATTCGAGATGCTCACTTGTTTACGTATGGCTTGGAGCGCCACCCAATCACATTCCTACCACAGGGGATCCGTTTCAATTGATTCGACACTTTTCAGATAACAAGCACTATCATGAGTTAGCTGGGTACTACAAAGCAAACTCTGGACGGATTTGTTTTGAAGAGAACAGTGAATTCCACGATCTCTGGGACAAATTTCTGCTAGTAGGTAATAGCACCTGGTTCACACGAGTATGGACTGTTCAAGAGGCGGTTTTGTCTCCCGATCCTGTTTTGTGCTATGGGAGTTGGCGGTCGACTCTCGAAACGTTGATCTCGGCTCAAAGAAACCGTAAATGTCATACTTTCAATGAAACACAATGCTGCAAGAACAGTCTCGGGGCTTTTCCCAGATCAAAAATCTTAGCTCTCGACCAATTTTTCTTGCAGATTGAATTGATTGAGAGGTTTAGGCAAGATCGTTCGTTGCAAGATCACTCTCTCTATTGCCAGGATACGATACGGGCATTTCCAGAATTAATACACCGCCCTTTCTATGAAATTGTTCTGACATTCTCAAATCGAGTTTGTATGGAGCCGCGGGATAGAATATTCTCGGTTCTTGCTATGGCTCAGTCGTTGATCATGAAATCGTATCGGCCCAACTACAGCGCCAGATGGATCGATTTATATACAGAAGTTTTCAAACTGATGCTGCAAGAGACTGGTAATGATTATCGATGCATGATAGGACCTGCGTTTGGTTCGGATCATTCAAACCTCCCTTCATGGGTTCCTGATTTTTCAGTTACCATACCGCTCGTGGAGGTTGAAGCCGTGATTCGAAGAATCTCATCATCCACGCTGTGTGAGGCATCTGGTAAAAAATTCGGAGTAATTCGAATTCACGGACCAGAACTCTCAATATCAGGACGGTGGGTAGACACAATTTCGACCGTAGGTTCCTTATTGCCGACTGTCAATATTCCGGCGGAGGCGCTGAAGGATATATTATTGAACTGGAAAAGTTTATGCGAAAAAATAGTAGGAATTTGTAGAGAGACTTCTGTTCGTGTGGCTCTATCCCGTGTCATATGTGCTTCGAAGATAGCTGACGGAGTGTCTCTGTATGGACGTCACCATGGATGGAGACAAATCAAGACAAACGATCTTCCTAGTGTGGAAGAATGGAGCCAATTCTTGGGCGGAGATGTGTGGACTTTGCAAGAAGAATACAGAGGGGCATTTGAGATAGCCAGCACGGGCCGTTGTTTCTACATCACGAAAAACGGAAAGATGGGCCTTTGTTACCCACAGGTAAAGGCTGGCGATCAGGTCTGGGTCTTGAAAAATTCCAACTCGCCGTTCGTATTGAGAGAAGTTGACAGTGAAAGTAGCAATGCTCAGCTGTATAGGTTTATTGGGGATTGTTATCTTGACGGAACTATAGATGAAGAGTTTGTTAGAGCGACGAAGGAAGGAAGCTGTATCACTCTAGTTTGAAAAATTCAAACATCTACTTGATCATGAACATGGGTAATTTGCACACTACAGATAGTGAATTGGCAAAATCTGACCAAACATACATTTAGAGTTTAACTTTACTCATGCCTCATGATTCATAAACATGACTCGTCAAATACTTCTTTCAGCGGAGTCAGAAATATACCAGTATAAATAGCCGTCTCCATGAGGGTAATTGAACAAAATGAAATCAAGCCCTCCTCCGCACTGGTATCAATCTCATCGAGAACCACAAAATCCTCATCTTGAAAGGTCATTTTATTGTCTGCATGTCAGAAAATAATTTCAAATCCCAACTTGCATTCAAAGATCACAACAATTTATTCCTGAAACCAAAATCTTCACCATCTTATCGCAAAATTGTCGTTCAGCCCCTCAGAATTTTATTTGGCAATTATATCATCAAAACAATCACCATGTCCTCAAGCCCATCTCACTTCACCTCCAATGAGACGACGCAACAGCCTGCTACATCCACAACATACCAGACCAGCGCAGATTTCACAAGACAGGAGAAACCATATCATTCGAAATCGACAAAGAAGATACAATTTTCGAATATAAGATCCAGGGTGGACGTACGCTTGAAGAGTGTATCAAGGGGTTGAAGAATAGGGCAAACATGGTCGTTCTATATAAGCCCGCCAAGCAGGAGCAGAATTAGAAGATGACTGGAGAGGTATGAAAAGTAATGGGACGCCTGAAGATGAGGTGGTGTAGATATTGTTTGTGGGTGGATGTTTGGGAGTTTCAGCAACTACACTGGGAAAAGACATCATTGCTCCTTTTCAAAAACAAGCAGGAAAAACTGTGACTGAGATATAGAATTTGCTGAAAATCAATCATCATGGCGTTGAAAGTAATATCCTGTGGTATTCAGGGTTACGTATCTACAAAATATATGCAAACCTCGTATAAATCAGTGTAAGCTTCATGCTGAGATTCAAGTGAGTTATGTTTGATCTGTTTGTAAGGTGATACGGTTGATATGTTACAAAATTGAGCGGCACAGCTTTTGACTGAAGACCTCTTTTGACTATGATAGACTTGTTTCTCTCGGCATTCCTTGATATTCAGCAGTTGAAAGCCGGACCGACTTCCTCGCATTCATTTAATACTCAAATTTGTACAATCGTATTTGTCTATCCGCGAGTATTTATTTATTGCCAGAACTTGAATTGAACTTCCATTTGCCATCCGAAATAAGCACAGCACACTCGTACCATTGGCAGGTAAGATACTGATCACACAACGAGATTAAGCAGAGATAGAGCCGGCCAAATATCTTCTCGAGCCAGATTTTATATATAATACACCAAAATCGGATTCAGATTCACAGAAAACCCCCCTCTCTAGACATAATGGCATCGAAAGTGGGGTTTTCAAATGAACTCATGCCAAATGTGTCACAATTGTTCATTCCGCAAGAGAAGATCGCCAGGAATTTACCTACAGAATGTTCTATCTCGTATCTACAATATATAGATCAACTTCACATCTCCCTTTCCACGCCATCGCAAAATAAATTCTCCGCCTCTCTCATCCCAAAAAATCAAGGGACCAAAATCTAGACTCACCAGTTCGTGTTCGCGACCCACTGATTTACTTCGTTTACCTGCAATGTGGAGTCGTCGTCTCGGTACTTACGACGTTTCGTAGATATGAAACGCCTACATCTCCAAATCAGATCCACTGATCTACGCACATTTAAATCTCAATGAGAATTTGAGACAATAAGGGCAAATCAGCCTTGTTTGATGACATGCTCATCTACCGGTATACGTAGGGTTTTTCGGAGAGATTGAGAGACATATTTTTCTACCCTATATGTGATGACTTGGCGTAGATCTGATCTCATGGGTATCTGGAAGCTTTGTGGTACAAGGCGCGCGTCTGTGGAGAAGAAGGTTTGAGATAGAAGATTTGGGGTTCCAGAAGATTTAGAAAAGTATGTTTGATGAGCGGATGTTTCCAATCTGGTAATTCGAGGAGATCATTCGAGACTGAGGTCTTCTTTCTGACACATTCGTCATTTGAACCTTCCGAATAAGTTTAGACTGTTTCCGAGCACAACATTTATTTTGACAGCTGAAGACTATTTAATGTGAGCGGGAGTGAAAGGGGCCTCGCTTAATTGAGCAGGAAATCCATTCCCCACGACCTACCGTTCTTGGAGGATATCAATGCTGTAATACAATTTGACGCTTTGGAATACACGTGTTTGGCATGGCGTTTTCATGCTGCGAGCTACGATGTACAAGTCTCATGTTGTGTACACACAAAGCGGAAGTTTGGAGATTCGTGTTATTTTTCCGTCGGGAGATTGTCGCCGAAGAAAGGCACGTCGCCGTCCGGGATTGAACCTGCAGTAAGTAGTACTGGAAGTACATAAAACAGTTGATGACGAAAGGGTAACATGGGCATGTTGTCGGATCAACACCGACAAGAACTTTTAGATGTCGTAATTGCAACGTGCCTATCCTATCAATAGCTATCTCAAAATTTACGGGTAGATGTAGGTCAAATTGTAGGCTTAGCATACCTGCAATCTGTATGATGTATCTCAACTGCCTACCTATGGACAATGCTTTTGTGACGGGTAAGATTGGGTCGCCAAGACTTGTCTCTCGTCCCGACATGTATGCAGCTATTTTCCGTTTCGAGTGTTACCGAAAGGGCCGAAATATCTTCCCGTTCGAGAATGCATCCTCCCATTTCTACTTAAATCCACATGTGGTTGAAATCCCTTTCAAAAATCCATCACCTCATTTCAGCTCTAAATTTCCTTGGTTATGTGCAATCCAGTAAGTGGCATTCGCATACACGATCAAATTTCCTTTTCCAAACCGTACCTGCAGTTATTCACAGAATGCAATCAAAAAACATATTAAACAACGATATGAATTCATCACAATTTACCGCTTTGAGATGAACCATCACTTAATTCGAAACACGATCTCCACTAGACCCCACACACAAATCGGGTAATCTCTCGAAATCTAATCTAACAAACCTTGTGCCAGACAAGGATCTGCAGCCCTGCCGAACACGTCCATTGCCCAATCTCTCGGATCATCCCCGTTCGAGAAGCGCCAGACCTAAAAGGGGGTAAAGAGCGATAAAAGCGATCTTGTTTTGATTTCGTGATTTTTGAGGAACGCCTGGAATTGGATATAGGAAATCATTTGGGTAGCTTGTGGCTTGAAGTTAGGTAAATTTCAATCTATATGCTACAAGACCTTGTACTAATTGGGATATTTATTCCAATTAGGTTGTTTGTTATAGTGCTTTGCTTACCTTTTTAAAATTATATAAATTGAATATAACACGGCTGGTAATATGTGATGAAGAAAGAAAGTTTCCCGTCAATAAGAGCATGAGTGATAATGTACAGATCCTTGAGTAGCCATGAGGAAAAGAAGAGAGATCCATGCTCTTGCGCCACCGTGGTATTCACACTGTAGCAAAACACGTTGACAAATCGACTTTGAAGCGGATTTCCTGATGAGGATATGATACATCCATGGTAACATCCCGACTGTGAACGTTCCACGATGCACGAAATTGCGGAACCCTGTTAATAAGGCTAGTTCGAGCCAGGAGACCTTTAAATTTGACAGTGCAGGTCGAGACCATGGTCGAAGATTGGCAGATTGCAAGCTTGGCAAAGTTCCGTTCTTATCGTCTTACCCCTCCTCTAATCCATCGCTAGGTAAGGAGAAAGTAACGGGATGAGTTGCAATACTCTGTATCGACTCTAACTCGTGCGAAGCTTCATACATTAGAATATGCACTGTACCTGGCCTGTAGCCACCCCTTTTCCTTCTTCCTGCACGCATGATACCGAAGGATATCTGTACGCGCCCATTGATGTATAAACTACTGCACAACCATGTTGCTTTCCAACTATGTGAAGATTGTAATTACATACACTTTAGCTCAAGAAAGGTTAATATATAAGCCGTGCGAACCCCTGCTTACCATTTCCGCGCTGACCACGGTTCGGTTTCCTGCGCGCTGAAACACGCATAGTCATATTCGTTATTTCTTAACTGTTTAACTCCAGCCTGCCATTTAATACTTGCGGCTCTTATTAAACATGGGCATTAACGACCTTTTCCTTTTCCAGGTCCAGACCAGGATGAAAGTATGCGTTTTTGGTTGAAGTGGCTGACTGAGGAAAAAGTAAGTTTTTCCTGCCTTCATTAGGCTCCATGACGCACTTGGCACGATTCTTGATGCCTGAACACTTTGGATTAGGAAACTTGGAACGAAGGATTCTTGAGAAATTGCTTATTTGAATTTGTTTCTCATCTGGGGCGATTTGCCCATGTCAAAGATATTTGACACAGTGTGCAGGCTGACCCCCTAGGTCCTTCTTTGGCACCTGACTACCTATGATTGATTTCCCACGCACCTCAATCTCCCGACTCGAGACCTAAACCTTTATATATACCTGCCCAAATTGGGATATACATCCACCACAAGATTAAGAATAGAAACAAGTATGTACATGTAATTTGAACCAGCCCTGTGAATTCCAGTGCCGGGATTGAAGAGAAATAGTGCAGCTGAGGCACAGAACAAAATGTTTAAAGATAAAAAAGAAGACAAGAAGGGATCAGTGATACAAGAATTGAATTCCCTGTCAACAGGTAATAAAAATGATATACAGAATGTAAGAAAATGCTCTAGAAAAGAGTTCGGTGCGCAGAAGGTAAAGTGTAAAGCAAAAGTCAAAGTTAAAAGGCGCGCAAAGTAATGGGTATCTTCTAAACAATCAATATCGAAGCGAAGAATAGAAGAGAAATTGAACATCTGTATATGGACAAAGCATATTCGATGATGGATGAATCGAAAAAGTTATAAAATCTTGTGGCTTTGGGGAAATTCGTTGTCGAAAAGTATTTCCGTCTAAGTAAATGATCGGCAAGTCTCTGAAACGTGTTTAATTTCTTCCATCGTTTCGCTTGCCAGAACGTCGTGCCTCGTCCCCCTCTATGGTCCTTTTATCACGTCCAATTTCCGACATTCCAGAGTAGTGACGTTCTCGGTCTCGCTGAGACTGGCTTTGTTGGCTTTGGGTTTGAGAGTGCGCGCGTGGTCTAGAATCGCTTTGTTCGAGCAAAGATGACACAGTGTTCGAGCCGCCTGAATGTCTGCGTGGCTCTGCAGGCCTCGAGGCTTGTTCTTGGTTCTGTGAGTGAACTGGTGAAGTTAGGCTTTGAGTACTGAAACCACTTTCAGTGTGTCTATGCCGACTCGAAGGGCGGCCGTATGAATCAGCTCCACGGGCTGAAACGTCACTGCGGTTCCTTGAATGCCCACGGCGTCTGCTTGATGGCGTACCCGACACCGAAGATCCTGTCTGTGAGAACGAAGGGGAAGTATACTGTGGCAGTGATGTTGGATGCGGGGCTGGTTGTTGCGGCCCTGTCGCTTTTCGTTTCTTTGGTGAAGAAACATGGTCTAGTCAAAAAATTAATACAATGAATTAAAGAAGATTTATGAAAGCTTGCCTGAGGGTGTCGGAGGCTGATGGGTGCTGCTCGTACCTGCTTGTGATGTGGGTGGTTGCCAATGATGAAAGTAAATTGAGGGCGAAGAT